CGAGGCGCGCAGGCACGTGACCCGGAACGGAGCCGCACGTGGCCGCGGAGGGCAGCCGCGAGGCGCGGCAGCACGTGGCGCAGGGCGAAGGGGCGGGGCTCTCCCGGGAGGAAGTTCCTCCGTGTTTTGGGGAGGCTGAGTCCGGCCCGCTGAATTGCCAGGGAAACCTGGCCGTACCCCCCGGGAGAGGCGGGAGCGCTCCTCCCCCCGCGAAGATTTGAAAAGGGCATCCCCCACTGCACTATAGGCACGCCGGCTCTCCTTGCGGCCTCGCTGGCGCGTCCCCACCAAAGTCCCAACAAAGCAGCCCTGCTCCCGCGCCCCTGGGAGCGCTCCCCCCCCCAACAGACGTGAGTCACCCCGCTCGTTTGAAACCCCGAAGCCTCTTGAGGTATCACGGCAACGAAGGCTGAATAAGAGCCTGGAAATAGAAGAGGAGAGAGCGCAATCCGGATCTGCCGCGGGTGAGAGACAAGCACATCCAGCAGGCTGAATGCTTGACGCTCCCGACCTACATGAGGAGACGTTGCTGGCTATTCTGAGAAGCAGCCTTGATGCACATGTCTGAACGGATATTTTACTGGCAATTAGTTTCCTTATCTGCTCCCACGCTGGTATGCAGTGCGTCCCTGCCCGCTGCTATTCCACGCTGCCTCGGGAAAAGAAAGAAAGACGGTGTCAGTGCAACAAGGCACTCTGAGAGCTGGGTTGCACGCGCAGGGGAAATGGCTCGTACGGCGGTAGCGCCTGGGGAGCTCGGACAGGGCCTGGGCACCCGTCGTCGAACGTGCGGAGGATGAACAAGCAGACGCTGCCCGCGGGTGTTTAGTCGAAGCCTGGAACTTGCCACAGATTTCTTGGCTTGGGCAAGTCATTTTATCTCGCTATGTCTCAGTCCCCGGTCTGCCAAATGGGGATACTGGTCCTTCTCTGCCTCACAGAGATGAGAGAGGATTAATCGCTCACCCTCACAAAGCACCCTAAATGAAAGCTGCTGTAGAAAACGCAAAAATAGGATTGCTGCGCGAAAGAAAACAGCTTACTGAATGCCCAGAGGCATAAGACTGTTGCTATGCTAGGCTGTATTTGTAACTGAACCTGGAGCATCAGGGGCGCATGGAGTTTTATGCATAATTTTTTAGAATAAAACCCCCCCAAAATCCATGCCCACGACCTTAATAAGGGTTTGCCCTAAAATCTTTGATGAAATCTAGAAATTGCTTCTTGCCCAAATTCAATTAGGGAAGGTCACCCAAACACGTGTAAAAGTCCCTCTTTGTGTCACACCCACTGCAAAATATATTTTCACTAGGAATAACTCAGGTTTAGAGTAATTTTCCTTTCTCTGCTATGGTGGTATCATTGGATGCCTGGCGAAGCAAGAGACATTCTCTCTGCCTTTAGCACAGGTCTGTTGTCCTCATTTGTTTTCTGCTTCAGCAGCACCACAAATGCAAGGGAGACTTGTTTTTCAGATAGGCTCTGTGACCTTTGGAGATACTGTGCTGTTACGGAAATGGCATAAGTGCCTAGATTGACAGGTAGGACGAAGTTGAAAACAGCTCTGAACAACCGAGTGTACCTGCCTAGCCACATTCAGGAAAAAAATCAATTCATTTTGCAAGTCTGCAAATATGTTTCTTCCAGTTCTTCTGGAAAGTCTTGGCTGGGTACAGATCCACAGCTATTCCAGCTCTTCTGCTTCATCGATCAGCTATTGGTATTCTGGAAGAAGAGAAAGGGCTGTTATCAATTAGGAAGCCATTGCTGGCTGCATTAGATCTTGCACGCTTTGCAGTCTGGAGGCCTGGGCTGACTCAGAAGGCAAATCACCTCCTGTATGATTGTATTTTCAATATGGGACTGGCACATCGAGAGGGTACTGTCATTGTGTCTGCAAATATTGCTAGCTGGATGGATGCGGGGATCAGCTCTGCTCATGAGAAAGCAGGCACACAAGAGCTTCCATATATACAGCTGACCAAGCAGACTGCAGCCAGGGCACAGAAAAGGCATGGCATTTGTGTGCCTTGTCTCTTTTCTGTCAAGCCTGTGTCAGGTGTGAGCAGCATGGGCTGACATGCCCTGTTGTTCAGTCAGCACCGTAAGCGTGCACTGCACATTGCAGAAAGCAAATCCCTGCCCCAAGGAGCTTCCAAATCACTTGTGGGGTATGCATGATGCAGAGGTAGCATGAGTGAGGAGAGAGCTGTGGAGGAAGGCTTTTAGCATCCTGACTATATCTCCACTGGGATATGATGAGGACTTTTGAACAGCTGTTGGAGGGACTGTTCCCCAGAGGACCCATCACTGTTTTAACCTGAACCCAGTCCTTGCCAGGGACAGGACTTTGTGAAGCTGGTCTATAGCTTTTGGATACATGCAGCGCAAACAGGATCAGAAGCAGTCACCTGTTCTACTCCACGCTTGATGCAACAGGAGTTCCCCGTAACCCGGGATTGTACAGGGCCCCTGGAAGAAGAAGACAAGAGGAATGATTTGAATGGAGAGTTGAGAGAAGAGCAGGACCAAGAGGGGAATAGGAGCAAAGAGGGCAAAGATGGATATCAGAGCACAGAGATGGCTTCTTCAAGGATAGCAGTTTACATGCTTGCAAATATATCCAGCCTCTGGGGCTACGAGGGAAGAAGTAATTCTCATGTCCGCATGAAGTGCTGGGAATGAGAGCAAGGAGGTGGCTGCTGACTGCCCGTTGCAGCTCAGTCACTAATGCTATTGCCGTTGTGCGAGCTGCGGTTTGCAGAGTGCATGTAACAGTGGCAAGGCCTTGCAGGGACAGGAGCTGGCAAAAGAACTAGCAGCAACTTAGGCACAGCCTGATCTTCTGCCACTGCTCTGAACTGATCCCCGCGCTGCATGTCAGCTTTTGCATCTAGGTCCAAATGAAACTTGGAAGACACCACAGGCAAAGCATGTAGAGATCAAGGCATATCAAACACC